CTCAGTCTTTATACTTACACACGTCATAGGCCAGATACATGCACACATAGGCTGAGTATATCAAGATGGATAATTAATGTAGATGGAATTATGTGTAGGCTGGGTTTCTTCCAGTGAAGGGTGGAAATAAAAGGCCTTGTAATGGCAGCTTAGCTTTGGACGGTAATGCTTTCCTAATGCAAAATTAGGCAGAGAATAAGTTTAATTAATAAGGTAGCTTTTAACTTTTGTAGAACCTTGGGGAATATGAGTCACTCCTATAGTTACTCCAGCAATGAAGTCTCCTATCAACTGATTTGGTGTGTATTTCCAAAGCCAGTGAAGAATGGGCAGGTGAGTAAACAGAAACTTTCGCCAGTCTCTCAACGAGCGGGGAGGGAGCAGCGAGTTCCTAATCGGCTGAGGGACAATCTTTTTGAGCTCGTTTTTTAACGTGGACAGGCTCTCCTGCTCTTCAAACTCGCGGTATATCGCTTCCCCGCCCCCTTCTAGGGCTCCCAACGATACCCCTCCACCACCGTCTTGGAAATCAGAATCGACGTGACTCGATGAAACGAAGGGGTTTCCTTCGCGTTCGAATGAAGGCGCAGGTGAGTAGCTCTGCGAGAAAGCTGCATATCTTCCCGAGGCATCGAGGCTGTTGTTATAGTCGCTGGAGGACTGTCGTTGACTGGGGGGGTTAAGGGGACCGCGAAGTGGGGGCTGGTTGAACGGGGGGAAGGGCGGTTCGGGGGGAGTGGCCCATATCGTACTGAGAGATTCCTGTGGCGTGAGATGGAGCGACCGGGGACAGGGTTCGGAGCGGAGCGGGGGGGGGGCCGCTCACATCGGAGGGGCGAGGTGGTGCAGGTCGATGGGGAGGCAGAGGAGGAGTGTCGATGAGGTCGGGGGGGTGAGACGGGGGAGCTGGGGGGGGATACTCGTGGGGCAAGGGAGGGTCACGGGGAGGGGGCAGGTATGAGGTCCTTCGGGGTGGAAGAGCCGGGGGGGAGACGCTGGGGGGAGCTGAGGGGAGTAGTATGGGGCATGAGGACATAGGGGGGTAGGGGGGGGGGTAGAGGGTTTAGCTCTTTACAAGGTTGGTACTGGTGGTACTGGCGGAGACGCGTGGCCAGGTAGAGAGTCGCGGGGGCGCCCGTCGGGGGCGCCGGCGCCGGCGGCCGCTGAGACAACGCAGTAGGGTGCCGCAGGCCCAGAGAGAGGGCATCGGCGGCTCGACCGGGCTGCACGGGAGGCACGAGAGAGGGGGGCGGAGAATCGCGAGACTGAACGCACCAGAGCAGCGGGAGGGACGGTGAGCACACGGGAGAAGGCGAGAACGTTGATTGTAGCGCTGCGCGGGGGCGGGAGCGGTTGAGCGTCTGGTCCAAGGTGTAGGAAGGAACCGGAGGGGTGTGCACTCGTGCGACCTCGGCTTTCGTCTCGCTGCTCAGCCGCTCGGTCCTTGCAGACGTGGACTCTGTGAGCTCTTCCTCCATTCTCCGCCGCTGCAGCGCTGGAGCGAAACGAGCCACGCCTCATTATTACGTAATGTTACAACGAGCCACGCCTTGGTATTGCTTGTCAGAGGACGGGCACAACCAAGCATCCCTTATAGAGAGGTGTCCCTAAATCAGAGGGTCCTTTTTCGATGGTTTTACTGTCTGTACTACCTCCACACCACCCACACACACACACCACACACCTTAGGTCAAGTAATTGAGGGCCATAAAAATCAGTGCGTTAAAAATACATTAGAAATCCATAATGTTATGATGCATCGTGGGAGTAGTCATAGAATTGTCCGTGTGTGTATAGAGGTGGGAGGCGGTAGTTTGGAGGGGATACAGACGGAAGTCTAACAAGTCTCTCTCGTTCGCCTTCAGCAGGTGGAATGATGGATAAGTCACTGGACACATTAGATAACTCTCCTCTTCATCTGAATCTCCTTGCAGAGCAAGCTCGTTTTCTAGGATTACGGGCCGCCCCCTGCGATCAGGGAAATCAGCTTCACCCTCCAAGACAATGGGTCGCCGGTTGAGATAAAGTCTTCTTGATGTGCAGTACTTTCTCTCCGATCTTCGTCGTCGATACATGCACAGAGCACAGAGACCTATGAGTAGGCAACAGAGAGCGACACAGGCTGCAGGGGCGAGTGTACCCAAAAGAATAGTCCTGTGACTAATGTCGGTATCAGATATGTCAATTTCTATTTCTTTGCCTACAATTGGGGGGATGTTACTGGTCGTTAGCCGGCAAATTCCCTCGATGGTTGGCGTGGGCGTCGGGTGAAAATCTGGTGCCATTGCTTGCAAGAATCTCAGCGTGTACTCGTTGCCCGTGAAATTGTAGATGTTTTGGATCCAGTTGTAAAACTCTGTGCAGTCGAGGTCCGGAATAGTTAGGTTCTTATACGACACAGATAGAGGACTCGTATCAAAAATCTCTCTAATGAAAATCTCTTCTGGGTTATAATCTTGCGGGGAAGGTTCGAGTTGCCGTTTTTCTACCACTCGTGAAGATATAGCTGAACTCGATAGTCGCTCGACGAGGTTGATCTTTTGTGTTATGTTTTGATTTAGCATTTCAAAGTCGTTCTCAAATAGAACTGTGAAAAGACTTGAAAAAGGACCAAGTGGAAAAACACGAATTGTGACAAAATCGTGCGCCGAATTTCCCACATTGTCTTGGGCCTGAAGAATGAAGAGATGGTCGGTGATTGCTTCGTTGGTGATCTCTAATGAAAGGGGCAAACCCTCAATATTGCCCCCATTGATCTGTACCCATGTTGTATTAGGAAGTGGGTCACCCCTGTAATTGAGCAGAGTCAATGAGAGAGAACTGGCTGAACCTGATTCCAGGTCGTAAAACGTGTCCTCTGGGACGGCAAACCGGAATATCTGTCCCCTGTTTGCTATCAGTGTTCCAATGGGATTCAGGAGCATGGGACTCTCGTTCGAAACTGGTGGGGATGGGGTTAAAGTTGGTGATGGGGAGACCACCACTGTTGACTGAACTGGGGTGGACGAAATAGTACGCGATGTTTCAGAACTTCTCGCAATAGAAGAGCTAGCGGAAGTGACTATGGAACTTGAAACTGTCTGGGAGGGCGAAATAGAGTCACTCACAGATGGCGGTACTGTTGTTGGCGTTGGAGCAATAACAGACATACTGACAGATCTTTCGCTGCACGTAAAGTTTTGAGCATCAATGACGACACATGTCTCATTCGTTGTACAAGGGTTGGGGTCGCAGGGGTCAATGTCCTCATCGCACAACACCCCTGTATACCCCATAGGGCACACACACTCAAACTGTCCTACACCCCGATCCACACATGTTGCCAGCGAATGACAAGGAGTTGATAGGCAAGGAAAGAGTAGTTCGTCGCACAATTCCCCTGTGTATTCTTCACGGCAGATACAAGTAAAAGTCGAGTTTCCGTCAATACATGAACGCGTACCATCTACAGAGCATTGGGATGGGGAGCAGTCATCTATGATGTCGTTGCAAAATGAACCAGTGTAGTCTGGGAAGCATTGGCAGAATGTGAGTGATGTAATGTCGATGTCATCGTCATCAAGGCAAATTCCTTTCCCGCAGTCGATGTTGAATTGTTCGCAGAAGGATAGTGGGGGTGAGGGGGATGGAGAGAAAGATGGGGAGGGTGCCTGGGAGGAAGATGGGGAGGGTGTGAGGGAGGGAGATGGGGAGGGTGCCAGGGAGGAAGATACGGAAGTTGTGAGGGAGGGAGAAGGGGAGGATGTGAGGAAAGAGGATGGGAAGGGTGTGAAGGAAGGAGAACGGGGGAATAATGGAGAGAATGTGCTCAGAGGTGATGGGTTGGCTGTTTGAAACACAGTTGCAGTTGAGAGTTGCGTGGTTTGAAGAACCATAGTTTCAGTTAGTTCAATAGCTACCGAAGAAGAGAATGTGTGAGATTCAGTGAAGTCAAGTGTTGTCAGTGGTGGTTCAAATGTAGTAGATTCGGGGGAAATGACTTCGGTTTCCGTTGGTAAAACAACGGAGGATGATGGCATGAACACATCAATGGAGGATATTGCACTAGAAATGAATGGAGTTTGCAAAACAATGGAAGAAGTAGCCAAAGACGATGAGGGAGGAATAAAAATGGTCGTTGGTTCAGGGAGGATAATTTGTTCGCTCGAGGATGGCAGTGGCGTTGAAGTTGTAATGAAATCACTGGAAGCAATGACAGAAGTGGTGGTAGGGAGAAACAAACACAACTGATGTAGTCTCTGGAAAAAGAATTAGCATTGACGATGAAGTAAACACGTCCACCATTGAAGAAGTCATATCAGGTTGAATTGTTGCTGTTGGTGCAGATATGGGTGTAGATGAAGGGTCTGGGAATATGTCTATGGAGGAGAGAAAGAGAGAGGGGACTGGAGATGGGGTAAAGACACTAAGAGAAAGAGTCAGTTCTGACGAGGACATTGGCAGGAGTAGGTTGTTTGAAGACGATGGTACCACAGGGCTCGAAAACACCGTACTATCTGGGGTTGCTGTGGTGAGGAATTCAGAAGAAAATCTTGGTGTAGGCTGTATTGTTGTCAATGGTACTTCTGAACTGCTGCTGATGGGAAGCTCTGCGGTTAAGGTTAACGTAGGCTCTATGGTTGGTAGCACTACTAATGTACTACTGAAAGGACGACCAGAGGTTGCTGATGGCATAAGAGAAGTTTCAGGCATCAGTAGGTCACTAGTGAAGTCTGGCACAGTACTGGTTGGAACTAGCATAAAGACAGTGGAAGAAAGTTCCGGAGGTAGGCTTGGTTCTGTGGAAGTCTGGAACCGTGTGGTTGTGACAATACCTGAGCTAATAGTAGGGGCAAAGGAGGATTCAGTTAGTAGTAAGGTAGAGAGTGAGGCAGTATCTGGCAAGAGAATATCTGAGCTAATTGCAGGGGCGAGAGAGGAATCAGTTATTAGTGGTGTAGAGAACATGGGGGTCTCGGGTAAGAGAATATCCGAGCTAATAATTATAGGGGCGAGTGAAGTTTCAGTCAGTAATTGAGTTGAGAATGGCACACTTGGTCTAAGAGATGGGCTGGGTGTGGGAGAAGGAAATGGGGTGCTTGTATCAGGCATTAGAATGACCTCAGAGCTACTGGCTGGTAGTAAGCTGCTTGGTGGAAGAGATAAGATTGACACAGTTGGTGTAGGAGATCGTAAATCATCGATGCTTGACTGGATGGTGAACAAACGAGAAGAGTCGGCAGTTGGAGAGAATGACTCTGTCAGAATTGGGAGAGATGTGAGAAGGCGAGACTCCATTGAAAACATCAACGACACTACTGGGATCGAAGATACCGCAATTTCCGGTCCACGCTCTGAGCTGGTGTGACGCTCCGATGATGACGGTTCCAGTGATGGTAGTGACGGTTGTATTGTTGGTGGCAGAGATGACGGAGTGAGGATTAGTGTAGGCTCAGACGAGGGGACAACCCTGCTACTTGGAGCAATTAGTATTGATGTGGGTTGAGCGGCACCTGAGACTGCTGATGTCTGTAGGTCAAGCCCAGACGTAATTGTGGGGCTTGCGAGAGCTCTGCGTGAAGGAGACAGCATTGGCAAAGTATATTGTAGTACATCCGCACTGCTGCTTGGAGTATGTGTAGGCAAATCGGTTGTACTGAAAGTAACAGAGGTAGTGGTTGGGACCACAGAAGTAAATCTAGGCAAATCAGCTGTAACTAAACTTGCTAAAGTGGCTGGACTTTCAGTTGTGAGAGTACTTCCACCAGTAAACATGTTGGTCATGGTTGTACTTGAAGTATTGCTGATAGACAATGAAGTACTAATTCTGCCATCTACTGTACTAGTGCTACTAGTTTGCGCTGCCTGCTGCTGAGAAGAAGGTAGTGATGTAGCAGCGGAAGATGAGACTAGTTCTGGTGAAGTGGTTGTTATCTCTATGGTGGGAAGCTCTTCAAGATCAACCACTTGCCTGCGAAAGCGAGTATGCACAGTTGTAGATCCCGCCGATTTCTCTAACACGTTTCCACCGCTTGATACGAACCACAATACAGTGTCAAATTCAGTTTGTGACTGCTCTGAAACGTATTTGTTAAGATTTTGCAGTACCATTACAGATTGACTTTTGTAGTAGTTGATGTCACATGAAAGCGTGAGAGAAATGGCCGATGTTGAATCAAGATATTCTGCGATACCTGCCTCTGCCAGTTGGCTCCATAGCTTCATTCTTTCAATGCTAGACCAGCCTATGTTGTCTACCACAAGGGAAGCGGGGCAGACATCGAGAGCTTTAGATAGTGAAACCAGTAAGCTTACTCTTGCAGCGCCGGAAATTTTCGTCATACTGGGATACGTAAGCAGAGTGGCTAAGACTGGGGGACTACCATTGGGGCAAATAGGGAAGCTAGGAACTTTCTCTTGGGAAAGATAGAAGTTTTCCGGGCAGTTTGTTCTATTTGTTAGGACTGTCTGAGATTTAGGCGGTGTTGGTGATGTAAAGGGTTTCTGCCCAACAACTTTGAGAGAAAAGAGTGTCTCGCTAATCGCAACAGACCCACCCCCTTTCGAAATGTACACGTCCAACGTGATGTACAGCTTTCCCTTGTCTCCATTCAGTGGGACACCTGAGAAGGTACCGGAAGTCGAGTCGAATGAGAGCCATTTTGGCAGCTCGTTCCTTCCAGCCTCACGGGCCTGCAGAGGGGGGTACACACACAACAGTGAGATCACACATCTTGGCAAACCACTGCATGTGTGTGTGTGTGTGTGTGTGTGTGTGTCAGTTGAGGCACAGTAAGTGTGCTGGTGAATACACTTTAAACTATTGTCAGTACCACTATTCATAGATGGACCTCACACAAGTACCATAGACAACACTAGTGTCACAGGTATACCTACAGCATAGTAAGGCTATTCATATCCCGTAGCTGTTGCACACAGTTTTCCCATGAACACACATCCTCAAAAGACCAAACTGATGCACATGTGTATGAGAGTGTGCACCTATAACCTTAGTACTCATGCACATGAACACCCGTCCTCAAAAGACAACCTCAGTATGAGTGTGTGCGTCTATGTATTGACAAAATTGACAATCACGTAATATTATTGGGACTTAGGGCTAAAACCTTTACCTGGAAATGTAGAGATGATCTATCAGGAGTACCAGTTGAAACCTGGTACCGAAACAAGCGTCCAGCAATGGCTACTAGATCAGGAATATCCAGGGCTGCAGAGTCATAGTATACATTGCCAGGAGTTGAGGGATCTTCAATTGACCACGAGTCCCACGGAAGGCCATGTGCAAGAGAAGGAGTACTAAATACTGAGAGCAGGAGAACGAGAGAAAGTGCTAGTCTACTGAAGTGTGCTGAGCTCCAGTGTTGCTGGTGGGTTGGTGTTCTTTCACCGCACTTGTGGCTGCCAAACTTCGATCTTCTGGATCGTGAGTCTGTACAATCTTCACTATATATTGAACAGTCTCTGAGCTTTTGTGAAGAGCTTTGTTTCATTTGGTGGTGTCGTGCATTGTTGAAGAAGCAGTGACGCTTTCCTATGATCACTTTCTTGCATAAACGACAGTTGCAGTTTTGTCCTTCCCACATTCCCCGGTATACTGAACGTGATGAAGACAACTGGTGTTCACTTTGTAACCTCACTGAGCCTTTTCTGCCTCTAGGGCCAGTTTCACCGGCCATTTCTGATATCAATAAACTGGTGGAGAGAGAATGAGGTCTGACATTGTATGCCAAGACCAAGATTCAGGCATGTCTATAAAACTAACCTTCTTTTGTACTGTTGAGTGGTCTTTAGACCCGGCAGTAGGATAAGTTTCTCTCAGCGCTGAGCACTGTCGCCTTGGTAGCTTGCGAGCTGCAGCATGCGCGATGCATGCTGAAGGCCAGCTACGCCCATTTAGTTCCGTTCCGCCCCCTTTCTATCACGCATGCGCATTTCGTGTGCGTGTCCGCGCGAACACTAGCTATTTATACGAAAGCACCACGAAATTTCGAACTTTGTAGCAGCTAGCTCTAGCTTCTCAAACACGAGTTTCAAGTCACATATGGAGGTTAGTGGTAGTGAAAATCGAGATGATTATATATTTTGATAATTCCCAACCCACACAGGCAATAGGAGATCAAGAACAAATGGCAACTGAAGTAGAAGATCCCCCAACTGAGGAAGATTCTAAAGGACCAGCAGGCAAGGACACCCTCGGGCAGGAGACACCAGCCGATCCCTCAGCCAACTCATCCACTGCGTCGTCTGTCTCTCCCACCCTCCCTCCCCCTCCCCTGTTTGTGAATGCCCTCAATCTTCAGCCCAACACCACCACCACCAACACCACTGCCGCAACAAAGACTACTACAAGTATGTGAGCATACTGCTTTATTATGTATGAAGGACTCCACGGTATATGTATGTATATAGGGCTTTAACCTTTTGAAATGCGTTAAATTGACATTCATATCACTGCTAATGCTGTAGGTGTATTTTAGTTGTGATTTTAAAGGTGTGTACGTGATTCTAATGATTGCCTAGCCCGGGAGGTGTTTGTGTGTTGTGTCAATGTATACGTCTGGCCGGAGTATCTTTAGTTCTTCACGTGTGTGTGTCCATATCTCAGGTGATGATTTGACTGATGATGACAGTTCAGATGCTGCCACACTCTCAAGCAAGTTCAAAGAAGGTATCACTATCTGCCTCGTGCCACGTTCAGTTTCTATTTCATACATCTACTTTACGTTGTGCGTTTTGTCAAAGATGTTCACAGTTGCCTTATAACAACATTGTAGTATTGGACTCCTATTATGGAAGTCTTGCAGCCTGTATAATACTGTGCGATTACTGTTTTAACATGTATGTATGTGTATAATTATATAATACAGTGGAACCTCTGATAAGGGACCCTCTGAGATAGGGACGACCTCTCTACAAAGGACACTTGTTTCAACCCCACGCTAATACTTTAGTGTATTATTTGACCTCCGATATAGGGACGACCTCTCTACAAGGGACAAAATCGTTGGCCCCATAGTGTCCTTTGTTCGGAGGTTCCACTGTATATAATATGCATGTATATGGCCACTTCCTATGCCAAATCATTGCTAAGGTCATGTTGCTTCCTGTATACTTTACCAAAGTCAGAGTTCGCAATGCCTGAATCACATTCACACATGTGTATACATCGCACTAGTACCTGCACCCACTATCACCCAGTCTTCACTGCCACTGTACACATGTTGATACAGATCCAGCACCAATATGAAAACAACTTCAGTCTTAACTGTCGGTGTAAGCCTACAGGTAGCATAATGAACTTACACACCTGTATATACCCACAGCTCCACAAGCTGTCTCTATTATACCTAATACAGTTGTTTACCCTGCTCTGTAAAAAGAATCCCCCCTGCATTATACACATGTTGATACAGATCCAGCACCAATATGAAAACAACTTCAGTCTTAACTGTCGGTGTAAGCCTACAGGTAGCATAATGAACTTACACACCTGTATATACCCACAGCTCCACAAGCTGTCGCTATTATAGCTAATACAGTGGTTTACCCTGCTCTGTAAAAAGAATCCCCCCTGCATTATACACATGTTGATACAGACCCGGCACCAATACTAAAACAACTTCAGTCTTAACTGTCGGTGTAAGCCTACAGGTAGCATAATGAACTTACACGCCTGTATATACCCACAGCTCCACAAGCTGTCTCTATTATACCTAATACAGTTGTTTACCCTCTGCTGTAAAAAGAATCCCTGCATTATATACAGACCCGGCATCGATACTGAAGTTGCTACAGTCTTCACTGTCAATGGATAAGTTGTCATCTCTCATTCGGTCAGAGTCCCGTGCCAACAAAAGGCAACTCAAGTCTCTTCAGAAACAGTTGGAAGGTTAGTATCATATATACTGCTCCCCATAGTGATATCATATATACTGCTCCCCATAGTGATATCATATATACTGCTCCCCATAGTGATATCATATATACTGCTCCCCATAGTGATGTCATATATACTGCACCCCATAGTGAGTATGTGTATATCCACTTTATTGTTAAAAAAAGCCATCGGCTATGCCTTGTGCCCTTATAATCATGTTACTCGTATATCCCAATGATTGTATATATACCCACTTTTAGCTAGTGTACCTTTTAATGCCCTTGAATGCTATAACTGTTGGCTTTCTTATATTATTGAACCTGCATATAGGAAACGTATATTGTACAAGTAGCTTTGCAGTTATATAGACCTGCACAGTTGACTTGTCGTGTGCATAACCCTAAGCACTCTCATTCAGTGATGGTGCAATGGCTTAAACTTGCGTTACTTGAACGCAGTGCGCTGCCTACCTCGGTTCGAGCCCTGCAACTGCTTCTTTTTTTCAACCTCACTGATGGATGGGTATAAATGCAGAATTTCAACTTCTTTCCTCCGGGTCACTCGTGTGGCGCAATCAGTAGAAGTGGGGACTACCAGTATAAAGGTTCCGGTGGTCGAGAGATCGATCCCGGGCTGGAAGCTGGTAGGTGGTCCAGAGCACTGGCTGGGAACAGCTCTGGTTCCTCCCCTTACCCACTCTCTGTTTGACAATACTGAGTTGACCCCCTCCACTGGTCGTGTTGGCCACTTGTCCAGTGGAGTGCTTTTTTTCCTTTCTTTTTCACTAAAAAGTTGAGTCGGTGCATTTTGAACTTTTAAAAGGCCACTTGTCCAGTGGAGTGCTTTTTTTCCTTTCTTTTTCACTAAAAAGTTGAGTCGGTGCCATTTTGAACTTTTAAAAGGCCACTTGTCCAGTGGAGTGCTTTTTTTCCTTTCTTTTTCACTAAAAAGTTGCGTCGGTGCATTTTGAACTTTTAAAAGGCCACTTGTCCAGTGGAGTGCTTTTTTTCCCCTTCTTTTTCACTAAAAAGTTGCGTCAGTGCATTTTGAACTTTTAAAAGGCCACTTGTCCAGTGGAGTGCTTATTGACCTTGGTTTTTTTAGTTGCGGCTACCAAAGATTCACCCAACTCTACTTTTTTTTCAGTTTGAGAGTCAGGATTATGAGTGATGTTTCCTCTTTGCATTTGTACCCTTTCAAGATGCTTAAACTAATAACGTATAAACGGCACATACGTACTTGCATTACGGTACAGTTTGTGTACATTGTGTTGTTTATGTTCTCTATTGTTGCAAGCCCTGAAATTTATCCGTGGCCGCATGACCTGCATCACAGTACGCGGCTCAGCAACCCCCCTCTGGTGCTTCAAGTGACAATGTCAACTTCATATATACACATTCTAGTGTGTCCTAAAATGGTGCATACGTGTGTTGCTTTGACAAGTCACACGGTAGGCCCAAATCAGGTGGTTGGCCAGAGCAAGCTTACTGGCAAAAGATAGTGTTAAAGCTGAGGAAAAGATCTTTAATGCCTTGCCGTTTGTCCCTTATTTCTGGCTTCAGACATAGGTTATTATCTCTTTCCCTAATGCAACTCAACCTCTGAAATGTGAACAACTCATAGATATTTTTCTTCCGTCTTTTTCGCCATTGCTGTCTAGATTAGAAGTCATCTACTCCAGACACCAATGGGACAGTATTACTATTAGTTCCTTATAGGGGGCAACTCTTCTTGGGGGAAAGAAAAGGTGTCCTTATTAGAGGTGTGCTCATTGCCGAGCGTGTTAGCGTGAGGCAACTACTCCGGGTTGTATTTTCGTGATATGCGTACGTGTCGGTCACGCTTAAGAATGTCAATTAGTCACGCTTAGGGAATGTCAATTAGGTCACGCTTAGGAATGTCAATTTCCGCCATGCGTGCAGATTCGTAGGAAGTCTCTGGCTTCGCGTGCAGTCAGTAGAGCGCGCGCACGAGCGGCCTCAGTCGGACTGTTTCCGCATTGGCTGGCAGGCGCGAGGCAAAATATGCGCGTGCGCATTCCTAGTTATATGAGTACCCAGGTTTGAAGGGCCCCACTGATATCATTGTCCATGCACACAGAGGCATATGTGACGCTGAGTGACTGCGCCAATCAGAAGGACGAGTTGCAACAGAAGATCGACGAGAGCAACGAGAAGATCGGCAACAAGAGAAAACAGATGGAGAGTCTTAGAGAGGAGCTGAGAGTGCTAGGTCAGTTTGAGAGAGATTTTTAAATTTATACTGGTGTCGTCCTATATACTTAGTATCATATAAAACCTGCTTTTTTGCTCCTGTCGTACTATCTATATATTACGGAGATGCTCAGACAACAGTCAAGAGTACAGCTTTCATTTGACACCTAGTTTCTTAGCATACATACTTAGGTATATATTGCACACAGTTTGCTGTGAATCGTGTGGCATATTATTAAAGGCTGAACCACCCACACCACCTTAAAAAAATTATGCCGATAATATTTTGCTGTCTTCTGTGTGACAAATTTTTCAAAGTCAGCACATCTTCTATAATGGTTTTGCTGCACGTTTTGCATTTGAAAACGTGATGAATTCCTCACCGTATGAATATGAAATTACACATTTTCTGAATTATGCCAAGTTGTCATTTTTGTACTATTTATGTGCTCCCTATGTACAATCTTGGCCAGCGGCACAGCAGGTTTGTGTATGTGCACGTGTACAGTGGAACTTCCGATAAGGGACCCAGCAAGATAGGGACGACCTCTCTACAAAGGACACTTGTTTTATTCAACCCCATGCTAAGTGGACCTTTGAGATAGGGACGACCTCTCTACAAGGGACAAAACTGTAGCCCCCATAGTGTCTCTTGTTCGGAGGTTCCAATGCACTAGATTGTCATTGTATCGCCTCTTTCAACAATTATATGTACTGTTATATATAGGTGAAGAGGAACTGCAGTTGAAGAAGAAGAGAGACTCATCGTACGCCAAGTGTGCCGAGATCAAGAAAAGGCTAAGGTCGAGTCGGGAGGCACAGCAACAGATTGCAGCATTTACCTCAAAAACTACCTCTTCGTCAAATTCATTACCTTAGAAACACCCCACAATTTTGTCTTTATTGATGTCATGATTTTGAATTTCATCGCTGACGGGAAGTCCGTGCACGAGCAGGCCGCAGTAATGATGGGTGGGGCTGGTATATAGATTACGGAGATTTGTGGTACAAGACGGCGTAGATAGGCAACTACATCGTGCGAGTTCAGAGACAACTATGGACAGCAGCGAAGTGCTGAAGGAAGGCTTTTTAGTGAAAAAAGTAAGCGTTACGATGCCCCGTGCGCTCCAATCAGTGTATTTATACGGCCACTGTGCCCGTGGAGTCCCGACCCTGGGGACTATTATTGTTTGTAAACTATCGCGTGAGCTAGCTAGTCAAGCTTCGTTGAACACTATACTAGCTAGCTGCGATAGTAGGGGGTGCACCCTTTTGCCTCAGCAGAAGGACCCGTGACAGTAATTGCATGCACCCGTCCTTTGTTTGCGTAGCTACTAAGCTAGCTAGCTAACTGTCAACAAAGAAGCTTTTCTGTTTCTCATCCATGTTTCTCCAGCAAAACAGGTGACCCATACCGTTTGCATTGTTCAGTTGTACACATAGAGCACTGAGAGGCGTGCATGCCGTGCAGTAAGCCTTCAAATTACACAGGGCCATGTTCGACACAACTGGAGGACTCGATGGTTTGTTCTGACCAAGAAACAGTTGAGCTACTTCAGAAAACGACAGGTTAGATCAAAATAATTTTGCTGCAACAATCATCGGTTGATTCTCTTATGAGGATTTATCATTTATAATACATTGCCGTTTAGGTCACCCCTTAGGTCAATACTCAATGCACAAATCAAAGTTACACTATTAGCTACATACTAGAGGAATGATTTGGTTTGTCGCAGTATTACATATAGTTTAGCGGCTGTCAGATGAGAGCACCTTTTAAGGCATCGAGAATGTATATACTTACTACACAGGTAATGTGTATATATTCCTCATGACATGGGATACCTTACGCAGTGCGTGCATCTGCCTTTTTTGCCCACATGAAACACGTAGCTGTAGGTGGATGAACATTCTCATGCATGCTTACGTGCAGTGTTGTAAAAGCCCAATGTATGACAACACACTAATCACCAGGTCATGTGTATAATTATGCATACTGAGTGAGAGTGTACTGTGCCATACATAACACAGTTGTTTGAAGTTTGCCTTTGTCTTGTGTATATTTGATCCCCTGCCTGCACAGCTGGTAGAGCACTCGCCAAGTGTTCATATTTCAGCAGTTAGTCAAATCCCACCTTTAAAAGTTTAGTTGTATGTGCCTTTTTGCTCTTCTTTGGCCTCGTTGGCGACATAATATAGATGAACACTGCAGTATTACAAACAGTAACGAATGTCCAATTAACTAATTATGCCTCTACTGCATGCCGTCTTGTCACGTGACAAGAACTGCTCGCTTACATGTGCCCCTATGCACTGTAAAAGAGACTAGTGTAAACATAGGATGTTTATTCGGGGAAAGGCCGCCGTGTCCCTATGTAATAATTATGCAGTGTTTGAAAGACACTAGTGCCAACATCGGTTGTTTATCCTGGGAAAAACTACCTGTTTTCGGTTGTGATATTTGGCATCTGTTATGAGACGCAATAGTGAAACTTTCAGTGTTTATCCTCTTGCTTGCGATAGTCTACTATACTGTGACTTACAGTACGTCTCGTCCGATAGTATAAAAATAGAGGCACAAACAACTTAGTTTCAGTCTTGCTTCCACCAAAAGAGCGGCGGGAGCACATTTATGACACTTTGAGAGCTTAACAATTCGGTACTGGACGATGAAGCTACTGCTAGCTATTCTGCTGGTGGCTTTTATGCTGTGTGCGGCAGAGTGTATGGATAAGGGATTTGGCTGGAATGAGCGGAACTGTAGTTCCTCACTACATATCCCTATGAACCCTACTGAACTCTTGAATGACAAACTCTCCCCTTCTCTTTCGATGGAGGATCACGAGAGCCATCACAAATGTCCACCGTGGTACTTCTATGACTCTACTAAGGGTACTTGTAACTTCACCTACCCAGTCAAGGGCCGTGTGTCGTATGTGACGAGCACTCTTCAAACAGTCGTCCTCCAGTGCTATTTGTATGACAAACGACAGTGAGACTCGGGAACTTGCACTTAGCGCCTGCCCCTACACGTGCCTAGTAGACGCTGGTTACTACAGTCTTCCGTGTGCAGCAAACACCGTGGAGAACTTTACTTGCGCCCGATTCAAAAGAGCCGGTGTTTCTTGTGGGGAGTGTGCTCGGGACCACGCTCCTCCTATTTATTCCTACACCAGCCATTGTGTTCCCTGCAGCCGTAGTAGCAGTGCCGTAAACTGGATAAAGTACCTGACCGTGGCGTTTGTACCGCTGACATTGTTCACTCTCTGTGTTATCGTGCTCCAGATAAAGGCCACTTCGCCCTACTTGTTCAGCTACATCTTCTTCGTACAGACAATAGCACTGACTGTTAACGTAAGGCTCGTCCAGATGCTTCTTGAGACTGGGAAGATTGATTCGCAGGGCATCGTGAAATTTGGGATAGCACTCGTCAGCTTCTGGAACCTGGACTTCTTTCGGATGTACTACTCACCGTTTTGCCTCCATCCGTCCTTGAACACTCTCGTGGTGAATTTCATGGACACCTTTATTGCTCTCTATCCCTTTGTACTCATTGCCTTTCTAGCACTGCTCGTAAAACTGGGACTTGGCCGCACGCGCATATGCAAGGCAATATGCAAACCGATAAACCTCTTATGCCACTATTACGGAATCGAATGGGACATGAGCTCGAACCTCATCAGTGCCTTTGCAACCTTCATTCTTCTCTCAAACACGAAGATCGTAAGCGTCGCATTCGACATGCTGATGCCTGCCTACATTTATCCAATGGACGAGAGCGCACCTAAACGTCTTCACGTTCTCAGCTCAGGGAGCACCAAGTACTTTGGAGCTGAACACACTCCCCTTGTCTTTTATCCATCCTGTTTGTTATCATTTTTGTGGTGCTGCCAATGCTTTTGCTCCTCTTCTATCCGTTTGGGTTCTTTCGTTTCATCTTGAGGAAACTTCATCTCGACTCGAACGCACTTCGATCATTTGCAAACCTCTTTCACGGGAGCTACAAGAGCAAGGAGGAGGACGGCAGCGAGTGTCGTTGGTTCCCGGTTACTTATTTCATTTTGCGCATCGTTCTAATGCTCTTGTACGGTGCAACTCTATCTTCGTTTTTCTTCCCAATCGAAGGCGTCGTTTTAACAGCTTTCGTGGTTTTTCTGGCAGTTTGTCGCCCACGGAAATCGGAGGTCCACAATGCCATCGACATTTTCCACATCATGTCTTTCCTAATTTTCATTCTCGGCATTATGGCTGACATTACCGCCAACTCTCAAACCAAACGAAAAGAGTTTCTTCGCACTTCAGTTTTCATCATTGCCTTTGCATCTGCTCTCCGTTTCTCTACATCCTTTCTCTTGTGGGGTACTATGCATTCTATAGGATCGGGGTGGGACACAAGATAAAACAGATCCTTCTGCGTATCCCGATAGCACGGCGCTGGTTTCTGTCCCGGAAAGGTTACGAAAGGATCGACTACCCTGGTGAGAATTTCGATCATTTGCCAGATCGGTTTGAACAGGATGACGGCTCCGATACTCATATCTTGACTCGGAAATCCAACAGTTATTCCTCTGTTGTTAGCTTGAACGATTCAGGCATCAACTGATTCAAACTGAACTGAATAAAGACAAATTTCTTAAACTTGTCTACGTACACTGAACTGGTGTTATTATAATTGGCTGCATTGTTTTATATACTGCATACTATGTTAAACGAAATGCTGTATAATATAATTGTCCGTTTGCAAGTTATAATTTGGACCGAGACACGCAGATATTGAATTGGGCGAAGAAAGCTATATCCATGATGCCAACGTTTATGCAAAACACGTACATATAAACTCGTGGTGCCAGAGAGAGAAGTTGTGGTATGCTCTACTGATGAGGGCCAACAAGCCCGAAACAGCTGTCCAGAGCTCCCCATCTTTTTTCTCTTGGCATCACATGGTGTATTTTGTTCATTTGGTTAGGTTTTATTTTGCAGTGGTTTCGTGTTGTTACCTACTCAGGAGTCAGTTGCAGCTGGAGTCATTCCTCTATGTGGTGCTACTCTCACGTGTCCCTCACCAGACTCCACCAAGAAACCGGTGAATAATTATAACCTCGATACACCCACCCTCTTCTGCTATGAAGCTATTTAGCTGGGGTTAAGATGACAGCTACCCATGCCTGTTTGCTGTACTTTATGGAGGGCAAAAATACTTAGATTAGTAGTCCGAGACTATGATAACATTTGTCTATATATAAAACGTAGTATGATAAAGGTCCTGCTATCAAACCATGAAATTTACAGCACTTTGCTCCCTCGAAAGTTTTTCTACTAATAATAGTACAATAGTTACTGAAACTACCAGCGTCTGCTCGTTGTGTGCGTGTGTGTGTGTGTGTGTGTCTCCAGTGGTTACTACAGATCAAGACTCATGATAGGAAGGAGTTCATGATCCAGGCACCAGACGAGAGATGCAGAACTGAGTGGAGCACTCCCATCGAGGAATGCATCCGTAGACTTGATCCAACAAAGGTGCGTGAAAGTAATCTGGCACTTTCAAGAGTGGAGCTGTACTATATACTCTTACATAATGAAGCCAGCCTTAGACTGGGTTCAGAATACGTCGCATTGCCCTGTTGCACCACTAAGATAGTCTATCCTCGCGACGTGGCAATGCAGGACGGCACGACAGGGCAATGTAAACCTAGCTTTAGGCTGCTGTCAGACTTACATGAGCATTCTATGCCAATAATACTCCTGAGGTGAACCATTATAACCAGAGTGATCTTGACCATGTACCCAGCAGTGATAGGAAGAGCCAGCAATACATGCACTGTACATTATACTGGTTTTTGAGCCACATGGTAAGTTTTCTCCTTTCCCTATAAGTCATACTATGACATTTTGGCAATCTATACGTAGCTCAGAATAAAGCAATACTGACCAATATTATAATTATAACTACTTTTTACTCAACGATGTGTGCTATGGGCCTCCAGGGAGAAAATTGGCTGTATCAGGCATGGGGAAGTGGTTTTTGTACAACAAGCAATACCTTTGGGAAAACACATATTGACACTAGGGAGTAGCTAACACGAGAACAATCGCAAACTTTCCTGTTTTCCATTTTTTCCTCGGTATCTTACTCGTGACTGTTATGTTGTGCTGTGTAGGAGACGCGTAGTGTTTGTTTTAGCAACATTGCCCATGTTCATGGAGGAATCTGCCACTTTTTATGTCACATGCCGGGAAATTCGTGGCATTCCCCGTTCCTCTGAGATTTGAGAGGGAACTTTACGTGCTAACTCCCTCAGCTGAATCTATACATCTTCTGTTGTGCAACAGATCGGAACGGTTGAGAGTTTGTCGAGAACACTGACTGAAACCAGCCTGAACACTCTCGAGATGCAACGGTATGCTGTTAGCACTGTAATAAAATTAGAACACGCAACAAAGTTGGTTTTTGCATGTGGCTGTTGCACTCACACAAGGCTTTATAAAATCACATCGACAACCAACAGTTCAACAATATTGCCTTACCTTTGCAAGCCACACTGTTCTAAACACATTCTACTAAGCACAACACTGCATTCTAGTAAGCAAAATTGTGAGTTCCAGTAAGCAATACTTCATTCTAGCAACCAAAAACTCTGCATTCTACAAGTAAAGCTCTGATAAGCAAAACTCTTCAGCATTTGAGACAGTACATATGTAAGCATATGCCACCTAATAATTATTCCCTCAGGGAGATGGTAAAGGCTATGCAAGACCCAGGGGCCGGTGTAAAACTGGTAGAGTTTGGACCAAAACGCGGAAGAGCTGCTACAAAATATTTCACTGGTGCGTACATAATATTATACGTTTGATCTCAGTAAGGCTCTGAAAGTGTTGTGAACGATAAGGAAGAGCAGCTGTAGTATTTCAGTTACATGCTTTTAGTGCAGTGCTCTGGCATAACTGAAAGTGTTGGGAAACATAGTGTTTAGCTTCACTGTTTACGTTTTTTTAGGGAAAGATGCGATAGAATGGCTGATTTCGTGGTCTTTTGCCAACGATCGGACTTCGGGTGCTACTCTGGCCACAGAGATGTTGAGAAATGGTTTCTTTCACACTGTGAACCTTGACCCCATCACTAACTCCCTCGCACTCTCCAAGGATGGCATCCTCAGTAGAGACGTAATGGACAGCGAAGAAGCCAAATACGTATTTGTAAGTATCACAATAACACTTGAAACCTTCATTTTTCTCCACTGTAAAAGAGCCTCTCTCCATAAAAATATTTCGCCAGTGACACCCAAAAGTGTAAAATTTTCCTGCAGTGTATATACCAGCCAAGGCAGTTTGGTGTTGCTCATAATACGTATATAATACAGTGAAGGGTTGGTTACTTGGCAGCATTCACTATCAACAGCTTCTAGTCTAAAATACCCTTCAGGAAATTTCCCCCAAATAGTATTGTTGCAAGTACGGCGGTTTATCTTGTTGGCAGGTTTCCATGACGTCCACCAATCCCAACGCGGTATTTCAGAGTGACGATGACTCTAGTTCTGACTCAGAGGATGACATTCTGGCAACATCATCCAGACCAGAGAGCCTTGCGGTATGTACACCTTATTCACACTTATACACCGTAGATAATAATATTATAATGATGTGCTTTTCAGGCTGAAACAGGGTTCGACAGCGATGGGAAAGTACTCAAACAAGGATTTCTGTTGAAAAAGGTAACGCTCTAATTGGTCAATTGTGTGTGACTGTGGCCTAAATTACCCTGATCCCTGATACATACACATTAGAGTGTAGTTTTGAAAGTATAGCATAGCACAGAAAAACCATGGAAGTATACTTCTTAGGATTGCAGAGCGGGGAGAATTGACCTAATACTGCCAGTGAAGAGTGTTTCGTAATGCAGGGTAAGGTTTTGAAAGAGTGGAAACCAAGAAGATTTGTTCTGAGGGAGAAGTCTCTTTACCTATACTTCTACCGGGGCTCCAAGGTTTGCCACTTGATTTTTCCCAGACATATAACTATTTCTTGCTTGCCCCGACCTTGTTTGTCAGGCTATGTAGATTCTAGACTAGCCCGTAGACCACCTCTCCGGTCTGCGTATGTGTGGATGTGTGTGTGCGGTGGAGCCGCCACGCAGCCTCACCTGGCACGCTCGCACATGCGCAGACCGGGGGGGGCTCTCTCTTGCTCTGTGTATAAGCTGGTTATTCCGATGATTTGGTTCAACAGAGCAAGAAGCATCGTGGGGCAATTCCACTGTGTGGTCTGACAATCTACGAACTGGACAATGAAATCAGAGAACCAGAGACTGACCAACAACTGGTGTCTGAAGGTGGCAGCAAGAGACAGTCGGCCAGAAACTCTAGGAACAAGGTCAACAGAATCTTGCTCATCACTGCCACAGGGGAGAGAGTGGTAGTTGAGGCTACTAGCGCCGAAGAGAGGAGTGCGTGGATCGGGGAACTGAGAGTCGCAGTAGCTTCTTTAGACATCACATCTAGTTAATCCGCTTCCATTTACCACATCATTGAATAAGATGTGTATAATATCGCATATCACTCACTTACTTACTCTTTGTCTTTTTATTACCAGCTTCCTTTCACACATTATTGTTAAAAACATTGACGATCTAGATAATACGAGATTTAAAAACATTACATGTAGTTTAAAATTGCGAATGAGCTGTTTTTATAATATGTCGGGATCAATGTTGGTAATCCTGATGAGTGCAGAGGGTGTGGTCACCACTATTGCCGGCTCATCGCTACTCAACTGGAGGGTGAAGTACTCTGTCTCTTCACACAGCCCGTCGTTAACGACCTGCACATAGGCACACTGTGTCTGGGGCCCTTCAGCCACAAAGAATTGGAGTGGAGAATTGTTGACTCGATAGTCCAGGATTTCTAAAAGATTATAAACATACTTGAAGTTGTATAATAGAGAAAGCAATAATGTCAGTGTCAAACTCTGGTGTTTGTATCGTATTTTTGCCTTGGTGTAATAAGCGTGAGCTGTTATTTTACATGTGGAGACGTGAAGTGTATATATATGGAAATAAGGTCGGGAGTCCAGCACACTAGTACTGAGCTACAACCCCAAAGACAAAATGTGTGTCTCTTTTCTTCTACATTGATGTTTTATCAAGGCAAATTAAGTAATATGACATCATAATTGCATCATAATGATGTCACACCTGTTGCAGTGCCGTCCACTGCATCAGTAACCAGCTGAAAGGGAAACTCTGCGTCTTCAACTGTCACACAGACCAGGAGACCGAAATCAGGACCGAGACGCTCCGACACTTCGTACATATCCCTCTCAAAACCAACAAAAACAGCTGCAGACATAAGGAAAAACTAAACTTTGACTCACGGAGAAAAAAGCAACTATTAACCGTAGCTACTTTATACAAAGTGTGCATGCGCAAATAGATGCTCGTGTCAGCCAGATTTTGCTAGCCCAGCAGCTATCTCATTGCTGAGAGCCAGTATGCATTCTGTCGTATCGGATCACACACTTATACCCCCAGTCTTTGGCCCTGAGTGTAAGGGGCAATAGAACCTCTATTGGGACTTAAGACTGGCCGGACACAGACAATTCCAAGTCCTTTCCTTCTTCTTACAAAGAGAGCAGTGAAGCTACGTGTGTTGTATACCATCGTTGTCTTCAATGTAGAGAACTTTTTCAGACAAAGCCTCGTCCACCATGATCCTGTCGACGTCCACGGCCTCTATCATAAAGGTAAGTCTCTCTGTCCCCTCGACTGCAGTGTCGTCAACAATGGGGACCTCCACACAGACAGCTTCACTGGGTCGAGACCCATTGGCTCCTTCTCTGAATGTCAGAGTCATGTCAACTGACATGTAGTCTTCTGGAGCTGCGTGGGTAAGAACAGTGATGTGTTGAAGTTGCATAACTGTACATACATAGCTCTATGTACTACAGTGGGAAATCTCCAACGATAGGACACCGATGGGACAAAAGAAAGTGTCTGTATTAGTGAGGTGTCCCTATTTCAAGGGTTAAGAAATATTGTTCTTGGGAAATAAAAGGTGTACTTATTTCAGATGTGTCTTCATTTTAGGAGTTTTCTTTAGCACTTATAAGAAGCTGTTCCCACGTGTAATATCATGACTCTGTTACAGAAATGCTCAGATTACACGGTTCTTATATACCAACGGCAGTGTCGTCCCGAGTGTAGAAACGGATCGCTGCGTCATTCATCAGTGGTCCTCCCGACATAATCTCAATACAGGTGAACTTGCTGGCAACTGACTCATTCACTGTAGACTCTATCACCTGGAATCCAACTACTGCCATTGGAGCTGAAATGGGAAAAGCATACATAACAGCTAGGTATGATGCTAAAACACACTAGAAAACGTGGTGGGCATGAATTAAAGAAAACACGGCAGTACATAAGGGCTACACGTAGAAATGTTAGAAACTATAGGTCCTAGTGCAAGTATGCAATTAGCAATATTTTGGCATATTTGTTGTGGCGTTTCACTATGTAAAGCCTGCTGTTTGTGGATTTTGTAAGTACCCAGACGATATCTGCATACAATGTATATACGGACAATGCAGATTATAGCAGTTATCAAACGTGACACTGACTCACAGTCGTCATCAAGAATGCGAACTGTCTGTACATCTCCCCCTTCACTGACAGTCACTATGTCAGGGGATAGGTTCACCAGCCTCAGAGTGAAATACTCTCTCTCCTCCATGTCACCGTCATCCATGATGTCCAGGGACACACAGGAGAGGGTTCCACTAGGGGAAAAGGCTGGGAGGTTTACTGTTGTGGAGATTTGCGTGTAATCCGCACCAGCTGTATTGTGGAAGATTGATAATAGATCACAAAAGGGCGTAGGTACTGTGGGGGCTTGGGGGGCTACCTGTAGCCGAGCCAGGGGAACTGATTATGTCAAAGCTAGCTGACTGTCTGCCAAGATCTCCTCCATCGAGAATAATACAAGCAACTGCAGGTTGATCAGCATTTTCCAGTACCCGTATCTCCCTCTCACTGAATATCACCCCTGGCAGTCCAGTCACTGCAGTATATACAACAAACAGCATTACTGAATTAGTGGTTCTTGTCTTTCGTGCTTGTTAAGAAGTAAGGCCACCCCAATTTCATGGTCCTTCCTAAGTACTGCACTCTTTAGCTAAAGGGTATTCAGGATGTAAATACGGACGGAATATACGCTGTATGGTTTTCATAGTTGGAGAACAGGTACTGTAAACTAACCTTCATCATCGACGATGGTCACTGTAGCCTTGCCCCCATCGTCAGCAACAGTAAACACACCAGGTGTGAGACTGGTAAGTATCACATAAAACGATTGATTTGTCTCGGCAATGTTGTCGTTGATGATGGGAATTGAGACGCAGAAATACGAACCGTTAATACTGTCAGCTGGGATTAACAATGATTGCGCCATATCAACATAGTCATCTCCAGCTGTGTGTAGAGAACCAAGTTAGCATAATATAATTATACACTCACAAAATATAGCCATACTAAATTAGGAGAAAGCAATAGCCCAACAGAGGTTTTTTAAATGCTAAATTCTACATTTGTATTAGTTATTCGTAGCACATATACTCTGTAGTTACCTATGGCAGATCCACCTTGCGTTGATACAGACACCCATCCTGACTCGTTCAGAGTTTTGCCCAACAAAACAACGCACACTTCAACCACTGTAGCATTCTCTACCACCACATAGTCATCAAACTTAAACTCCACTTGAGATCCTGCAGTAGCACGAAAACACGCTGAATTGACAAGTACGTCTTGCATCAGAATGTCAGATAAAGATCGGGTCATGTAGTAATGAAGCCTATACATTTTGTATGTCGGCTGTAACCACCCCTAGTTAGTTTGCCTATACAGTGGAACCTCCGAACAAGGGGCACTATGGGGCCAATGATCATGTCCCTTGTAGAGAGGTTGTCCCTATCTCGGAGGTAAAAATAATACATGTGGTTGAAACAAGTGTCCTTTGTAGAGAGGTCGTCCCCATCTAGGTGGGTCCCTTATCATAGGTTCCACTGTATTTGCAGTTGTATTTTTATAGAGCTAAAAAATGTGGTACAAAAGGCTTACCATCATTGTCCTCAATAACCACAAACGTTTGGGAGTATTCTGGTACCACACGGACGAGTGGATCAAACGACACGATACTGACGGTGAAATATATATTTCCGTCGGCTATGTTATTGTCAATGAGGGGAATCCCGAGGCACTGTACGTCGCCGTCCAGTGTCCCAGCAGGAAAAGTGAGCTCTGTGTTCTGCATGATATAGTCTTCCATCGCTGCATAACATCGGAAATTTAATCATTATTTTTCTTATAGTTGCTGACATTCATTTTGGTACATACACATGCAAATCACTCATCCAGATTGTATCATACTACCAACATAAGCAATGAAGCCTGTGGATCTTTTATATACACACTGCAACATGTGTATTGAATGTTCACAACAGCACATCCCCTAAAGTTGTCCCATTGCTGTGTTGGTTACAGAGTACATTGCTGGTCACCCTACCAATAGCGCTGCCGTCTTGCGTTCCAATCCGAATTGTTCTCTCCTGGAGCACCGGGCCTCCTGGGGAGGCTTCCACACACACAAACACTTCACCATCTACTTCATTTGCCCTGATAGATGATGGTACCAGCAGCACGTAGAGAACTGAAACGGAAAAATTGAGGTTAAGATAGTATGTGAAGGATTTAGCTACATGCATCAACTACCGTACTTCGCCAAGCACTGCGTACTATTGGTAAATGAAGGCGAGCCTACCTAGTCATCTAAGTGCGAGATTTATTATGTGAGAAGCTCTGTTATGTAATGCATTGCAGGACACTTTTGAAGGAGAAACTTCGAAGGTCCAACAGCAAAAGTAGTAGTGATTACAACTATGTTATGTAAAAATCGTTTTCAGATTCTCAGGTAGCTTTGCTGTGTACTTACCATCATCGTCTTCAATTGAAATTGTTACATATGACTCTCCTTCAATGATCGCAACAGCTTCATCGGTGGAGAAAACGTGTATCGTAAACTCCTCCATTATTTCAGCAACATCATCATTGACGATATAGATCGATGCACATGACTCTTGGCCTCTTCTTGACCCACTTTCAAATCGCACATAATATTCGTGCACCAAAAAGTCTTCAAACTCTGAATGGGTAGTAGGTTACAGAAGAATGAAACACATTGGTAGTAACACATATTATACTAGATTTAAACTCTCTCTTTCTATTTGCTTATTACTGAGAAAACAGTGGAGCCTACCTCTATAGTCAATTCTAAATAGAGCAACTGACTGTGGCGGGCACTACACACTATTGTAATATGTGTGAAAACTTGAACTGCTCCCTTTAACTTACCAAAAAACACATTGTGTATGTTCTAGTTACTGTATACTCACCGGTAGCAGATCCATTTTGTGCAACCAAGTTGAATACTACGTTTTCCAGTAGTGGTCCACCTGACACCATACTTAGACAAATACGGACTGGGTATGGTACTGATTCTCGTATGTAAATCGTGGTGTACACGACACGGAACTCAGACACACGAGCTGTGACAAATGAGAAACAGCAGTAAATACTTTGAGGCAGAAAAATATTGCATAACTAGGACTCGGGTAACTTGAACTATTTGCTGCCCAACCTATATAGGGTGTATAGGGATATACTTTGTTAGGTTGCGAGAGTTACGCAAATGGATTGTTATTACATAGGATTTAAACACCATGTTATAAGTACGTTGGCACACTTACGTTCGTTGTCAATAATGTACACAGTCTGTGAACCAAGATCCTCAGCCACAGTAACCAGTGGCGACAGAGACGCCAGGTTGAGAACAAACTCCTCCTCATTCTCGAGCACTTCGTCGTCCACAATGCTGACAG